TTTCTCTGACTACGTCTACAAGCGCATCAAAGCCAGGAGGAAGGTGAGGAGGTGGGGATGCCAGGAGACAGGATTATTGTTAGCCCAAATTGCCCTTAATAACTGGTTGGTTTTCCTTTGCTGTTCTTGCTGGACCCTGTAAGCAGTGCTGCAAATTGCTGGTGTATTTTGAACGTACTGAATAGCTGAGGCTTGGATAGGGAGCCCTTTGTGTTAGTGATGTGCCGTGGTAGAGACAGATGCTCCTTAAGGTTAGCAGTGGTAATGTCTTCATCCTGTCCTGCTGCAGCAGGAGTCTGGAGGGAAACACTGCTTAAAATGAAGAGATTGGCCAAAATCGCCTTCTCCTCCCTGATTTGTGCAGCATAAACCCCATGTGGGTGATAGCCTCTTGCACTGGCTCTGCACACCGTACAGGGCAGTGGGGCTGTGCCAGGCCTCAGTGCTGCAGGAATTACAGTACATAGCAATGTGACATCCTTCTGCAGGGGGACTGATGAGCCAGTGAATGGCTGGAGCATGATGTTCCCTGGGCTCAGAGAAGTGTCATTGTCCTCTTCTCTCTGGTGACAGATGGCAGAGGTGCATGCTGTGCCCCGGGGCTTATATGACGGACCCGTGTTTGACCTGACCACCACCCCCAAGGGGGGCACCCCTGCGGGGTCAACTAGGGGGTCCCCCACACGTCAGACACCGCCCGTCAGGAATCTCCATCAGTCTGGATTCAGCCTGTCAGGTGAATACATGTGGTGGCTGGCCTGGGGCAGGGGGCAGAGCCACTGGCCATATGTTCCAGTCCCTGGCCTGGGGCAGGGGGCAGTTAGAGGTGGCCTGTGGCAAGGTAAAGCACAAGAGTGGGTCATGGCAGGGAAGGATCCCGTGTGTCCCTTAAAGGACATGGCTGGAGATGCACCTTGCAGTAACAGCCAGGCAGATTACTTGGAGGCCACCGTGGCCATGGAGGCCAGCACAGCATCTGATGCTGTTCTTGCTGGGTGGGTCTGTTCACGAAGCGTCTGCAGAGGCTTTAAAGCCACTGCGGCTGTGAGTTGCTACTGGAGTTGGAGAAGGGAGCAGGTTGCAGCAGATAGCCTCTGGGGGGCCTTGGCAAGACTCCAGGCTGCCTGACTGCTCAGTCCTCTGAAGAAGATGCTCTTAACTTTACTTTCCCTGTTCCCTTTGAAGTACTACTTTCTCATCCTATGCCAGGTACCCAGGTTGATGAAGGCATGCGCTCAGCAAGCAAGCGCATTGTCGCACCCCCGGGAGGCCGCTCCAACATCACCTCCCTGAGCTAAATGTCCTGGCTGAGGAGGAAACCAAATCCCTGTTCAAGCAAAGGAAGAAAAATGGTACCTTGGTGTTGAAGAATGAAAAGAAATAAACCTGTTCTGAAGAATCAATAAGCCTCAAGCCTTATGTTTCACAAATGCTACTTGCTACCTAGCTTTAAAGATGTTGCTTCATTTTGGTTTTGCATAGCCTTAAAGTTCTGTTGTTGTTACTGTTGTGGGTTTGGTTGGGTTGTGTTTTGCTCTTCCTCTCTGTATGCATGCTGCTCGGACAGGTTGCTCAGTTCAATGTTATTGGTGTTGAACGTGTGTGGGATGCCGTGGTGTGGGACAGTGGGAACGGCCCAGGGGCTGACCTGGCCAGGCAGGTGAGGGGGCAGGGTCTGGCCGGAGGCAGGATGTCAGATGGGGAGGGCAGGTGCACTGAGCTCGTAGGGAGAGGTGGGTCTGTCACATTCATCTCCTTCATCTCCACCCAGTGCTCTGCCGTTTCATCATGAGGCCTGTGGGGGAGCTCGAATCATCTCTGTAACAGCTGTCACAGCACCTTGTGTAAGGAGTTTTACTACTTTGTACACTTTATTAAAAAAAAAGTTGTTCCTTCAAACAGCTCATGTTGTCAGTTGACTCTTCTCTTCCTCAGGCCCCTGCAGCTTGGCAGGGGCAGTGCCCAGCTGCACCCACAGGGAGCTGGGCTGGGGCAGCAGAGGGGTTTGGGTGGCGTTGGGGCTGGAGGGGGCTGCAGCATCAGGCTATCGGGGAAACACCATGCCGTGCTCACTGCTGCATGTGTCAGGGTGTCGGTGTAGCTTCTCAGAGGAAGGTATTAGCAAAACAGCACAATGCAAGTGTTTGTAACAGCTGTTCAGTTTGTGCATGCAGGCTCTGAGCCTGGCGTGGCCACCATGGGCAGGAGCTGTGCCAGTCTTCTCTGTGTTGACAGGGACCAGCATGGCACTGCCTGGGCACGGCTTTGGGGTCATCCTGGCCAGACAGCCTTGGCGGCTGTTTTCTGTGGACTCCTATCACTGAAATGCTTCCCTTCCATCAAGCATTGTCTGTTAGAATGAGGCACTGTCCTTCAAAGCTTGCAAAGCGTGTAAAAAAAAAGTGATTGTTGTTTAAAGATTACAAAAATTAAGGGTCAGTTTTAGCTATGCTAAACAAATACACTTTCCTCCTTCCCTCTTTAGTATTTGACCTTTAAATACTTTTTTTTTTACACATCTGCACCTCGGGCAGGACAAGCTGTCTCTGCCGCAGTCCTTGAGGGGCCAGGCCATAATAGTTGTGCCAGGCTGAGGAAGGCTGTGCTTACAAGTTTGTCAAGTTCTTCCATCAAGTAATTAAGGATTTTTCCTGTTGCCTGGTAGAGATTAAGCTGAGACTGTGCCTCTGTGTACAGAGGAAGAGGGGAATAGAGAGATGGTGGCAGAAATCTTTAAATTTCTACATTTTAAAATTTTTTAATATGCAATGTTCTTTCCATTTAAGTACTTCAGTTGTTTTGGGGCTTTTCTGACTAGCCAGTGGAGAGGTATTTCTGCAGCAGCAGATTTTTCCCTAGTGAGGAGCAGAGCTGGGATTCCAGATAAATACACTGATGGTATGTGAACCTCTGCCCGCACCAGGGCAAGGCAATGATAGCGATGTGCTGTGCAGGAGACAGGGACAGCTGTCAGCACAGCCCTGCTGCTGCTGCCTGGCACCAGACCTGCCGTAGGACTGGGCAGAGAGCAGAGGATAGTGGAGAACGCTGGAGGTGCTCTGGATAGCCTTCCTGGGAATGATGAGTCAAAGGCAGAGAGACATGGAGTCCCCACCCACTGCGAAGTCCTGTGGCTTGAAAGGCAGCATGGCTGGGGAGGGGGACAGCAAGCACACTGTGACATGAACTGGGGTGCCTTCTGATGGAGCAGGGAAAGGTGTGTTGTAACTAAGCAGGAAAAGGTGACTTTCCCATGATAATGACACTCACTGGGGACTCCCATACCCTCTTACTGGTGAATTAATTCTGCTCCAGGTTTACAGCTCCTGGGCGGAGCAGGGTCGCCTTTCCCGGGGCTTTTTGCACAGGCAGGGCGGTGGGGAGGCTGCAGCACACCGAGTGGGGCAGCTTCCCCTCAGCCCGGCACCCTGAGGGGCTGGGGGGCCGTGGGACACCCGCCCCCACCACTGCAGGAGGGACCACAGCACGGAAGACACCAAACTAAAGCCTGGTTTTAGACACAAACTGCACTGCTCGGTGCTGGGACACCCGCTGCAAGCCTGCACAGACACATGGGCCAGAGAGGACATTTACCTTTGGGTTAATGGGAGGCAAACATTTCATCACATGTTCATTACATTGCTAAGAATGGGAAAAATGTCAAATAAGGAAGGTGAAACCTCAGGCCTGTCCAAGCATTTAAATAACAGCAAATTCCTGGCATTACCACAGAAGCAATGCTTTGGCCAATCTCAGTCTTGGAAAGACCACACCAGCAGTGCAGTTGTTCCTGAAGACAGTTCTTGCTTATATCAAGTGTGATTTCAGTGGTAGAGACACTCAAAATACACATTCAAATTCCCCTCTGGTTTTGGAAGCCAAACCCCATCAGATTCAGTGAGCTGCAGCAGTTTTAACATGATGGTGAATGCATTTTTCAGGCTAGACTGGTAAAGCACCTGGATTCACCACCACCTAGTTGTTACTGCTTGGTGCTCCACCTTGTCCACACTGGCCCCCCAGCATGCCAGCCCTGCTGGGTACATAGAGAGAATGGGCAGGACAGCTTTGCTGCCTCCTCCCAGCTAAGGAAGGAGCTCATCTCCAGCCTCCTGTGCCCACCCTCACAGGGTGTTTGCAGGAGCTGTCTATAACCAAAGGCCGCTATTGTCACAATGCATTGGTGAAGATCCTGCAGCTGGAGCCACCTCTTCCCCCGGGGCAGCCAGCCTTGAGCCCATGCTCGGGGAATGCCAGCCTCAGCCGAGCCCCGTGGCACGGCCGTGGGCACCTCAGCACAAGGGCACACTGCAGCATTCCTGCTTGGTGACACCAGGGGCTGGGGCACCTGCCAGCCAAGCCAAAACGGCGGACACCGTCTTATCCATCGTCCTGTGGTCCCATTCCTGCCCCCAGGAAAGGCGACATAACAGCACCTGAGTCCAACCAGCTGTGGCCAATTGCAAGGCAGCCCCCACAGCCTGTCCCCCCTGCTCAGGACCCTCTGGCTGTGGGGGGGAAAGCTGAGGGAGTGGGTGCCCCAGCTTGTAGCCATGATATTATGAAAATCCTTTGCTGGGATTTTTCCTCTCCTGAGAAGCTGAGGAGCCTCAGGAGAGAAATGTAAACAATTGCTATCTGCTGCTGTGGAATGCAACAGGTGCATCCATGATTGGTCCATGTGGATTGTTTTCCATTGATGACCAATCACAGCCACCTGTGCCAAGGCTGTGAGCAGTCACAGCATTTTTGTTACTCTGTTCTGTTCTTGTTGTAGCCTTCTGATCTCTCTGTTCTTTTAGTATAGTCTTAATGTAGCATTTTAATATAATATCTAACATAATAAATCAGCCTTCTGAAATGGAGTCAGGCCTCGTGTCTCCACACACGGAGAGGAATCATCAACACCAGCTCTCCTCTGTGCCCGGGGCTACTGGCAGGGTGCCAGCAGCAGAGGACAAGTCTTCAGCCTGATATTGTGAAGGTGCATGGGTGGGTGAGCCCAGTCCCATGAGGAGGTCCCCTGCAGGGGCTTAGCTGTTCTCAGAGGTTGTTGTTCTGACTGTCCTCCTTGTGTGGGCCTCCACTTTTTGTCATGGTCTCTTGGATGCTGTCATGGTGGGGTCTTACCCTTGGGGAGAGAAAAGGATGATTGAGCTGTCAGGAAAAGCCCAGGCAGTGCCAAGACCCCATAGAAGTACAGCTGTCTTGGAGCTCCCCACTGCCTGGCATGAGCTGTCACTCAGCCCACAGCTCCTCCAACACAGGGCCCCCACAGCCCCCCTGCCCTGGGCCCCCAAAAACTGTCACAGGCTTTGGCAAGGGCCAGTGCCTCTTATGCTGCCTCTGGATCAAAACTTACTTTTCTCTGTTGAAAACAATGAAGTCCCTCTGGAGCATTTCTAGGTGCTTCTGGAGGTGGCTGACCTTTCACATTTGAATAGAAAAATAAAAGAGACAGGGAATAAATTCACAGTTTACACAGAAAACCGTTGCAAGGACAGTTTCAATGACAATGGCAATATGTTTAAGCACAGAGCATCTTTAGCCCTGCAGTGGGGAGAATGGAATTAAGGCTCTCCTCTTGCAGTAAAGCAGTACATACACATCCTGCCCTTCACCACAGGGAAGATGGGGAGTGTTTTAGGAATAAAGCTGGTCACAATGGAAAAAAAAAATATTCTGTTCAGTTTACTGTGGTCTTGCTAGATGGCAGTCACTGAAAAATGAAAGGCCTCCTTGACCATGCTTGTACCTCTTTGCTCTCACCTGGGATGAATTGCTTTTGCTTGTGTCTTTCTCCTTCTTAGCCAAGCGCTTTTTTTTTTTGTGAAGAGGTTTGGATTCCAGGATCATTTCTTCCAGTTCAAAGGTTGGGTCACAGTTCAGTCTGCCTTTCTGGAGGGGAGAGAGAAGTGGCCTTAAGTGATCAGAGACTGTCTTAAGGAGTCTCTTATAACCTGGACTGCATCTGGGAGCTGAATTTTATAAAAAAAAAGCACTAATTATAATTGCACATGCAGCCAAGAGCACTGGCTATACTCTTGATCTTCTTTATCAGTCCCTTCAGCTACGGGCCATATTCAAGGTGTCACAGTGGCTCCTTTTGTGCTCCTGCTTCTACTCTGCCCTTTGGCTGCTTTGGAGTGGCAATGAGGATGAGGACAGTGTCCTGGCTGGGTTGTGCCTTTTTGAGAGTAGCACAACAGCCCAGTGGAACTGGCCTTCAAGCAGTACAGAATCATACCCACCCCAGAGAAACCCAGCAACAAGGGTGGATATACAATGAACAAATATTCATAATTTAGCCCACCTTCTGCTGGAGTTGAGTTGGAGTTGTTGGACTATTCTTCATAAGGGTTATGTTACTTAAACACAAATGTAGTATGTGCTATTTACTGTTAACAATGAGCTTGTTGGGGGAAGCATGTGCTGTTTTAATTCAATTTAAAAAGGCCCATAAACACAAATCTAGTATGTGCTATTTACTGTTAACAATGAGCTTGTTGGGGGAAGCATTGCAGGAGAAAACAATTCCCATAAGATAGTGGGTGATCTCCAGGTGCTGCTGAGCCCATCCTGGTGCACTAGGTTTTTGGATGTGGGGAGCAGCATGGCTCAGAGAATGGGTCAGCATGAGAGGGCTCACAGACACTGTCCATCCCACACAGATGCACAGCCCAGTGGGCTGTAACACCAGTTCTGCACCCAGAAATTCCAGGAACATTACAAACAGCGCATATTAGTTTTGGGGAACCCACACTATAGTCTCCCTCCACTACTCTTTGCTACAGAGGGAAGAGACAGCTCTGCCCTGGTCTCTTTTTCCCCTTGTGACACCTGATGCTTCAGTGGAAATTTGTCAGAATGTCCCATGTCCCAGTGCTGGATGTGAGGAACCTTTACACTCAAATGGCCTTACCATGGGAATGAATTCTGGCATTATTCTTTTCTGGAGAACAGCATCCCAGTTCACATCAGACAGGTAAGGGAAGGACTGGATGTCCTTCAGCTGAGAAAAACGTTTCTTGGGGTTCAGCTCGAGCAACTGCAGCAAGAGATAAAGGGAAGAGATGAGACCATCCCCACAGGGCACACATTCTGTGGAGCATGGCTGAGGACACATGGTGCCAGAGACTGCATCAACGCTGGCATTTGGACCAGTGCCTGTCCTGCTCTGGCTCAGAGTCCCTTCACCAGGGCATGCAGCAGGCTCACAAGCTCTGCCTCTGTTTATTCCCATTTTTATGAATTACTTTTATTCCCATTGTAGGAGCAGGCAATGAGGCAGTACAGTGGCATTAAACAATTTGTCCAATGTTAAAAATAAGTATTTGTTTGGAATGAGAAGTTCCACTCAGGTGTTTGTGTTCTGCTTTTAAAACAGCCTCTTCTGTCACTCTACTAAAGTAATATTCTTATTCCAGTGCGAAAGCATGCCTTCACATTGCTTATTTTCATAATTTTTTAACATTGCTGTAGGGATTACTTGTGTGGAAGGAAAAGGTTGAGCTGGTCTCTGTTCAAGGATTATACATTGCATAAACTCCTGACATCTTGCACTCCTAAAACTCAGCAGGAAAACCAGATGATCCAAACCCTTTGGGGAATTTATAGGCAAGGTGACCAGCACAGCCCTGCTCGTGCTGGCGTGCAGCCAGTCAGCAGCACTGTCCCCAGTGCCCAGCTCCCTCTGCAGAGCTCTGGCCTCCAGCCCAACGCCAGCGCTGCGGCTCCGCGAGGACAAACATCTGCCTGGGCTGGGATAAACGCAGAAATCCACAGGGGATGGCTGAGCCAGGAAGGAGCCACAGCTGGGCTCATATGTAACACATATGGCTGTTGAACCAGATGCAAAGGAGTACTGGGAAATTTAAATAATTGTGACATTGTATTATTTATTCACAAGGGAGCCTCCATGACTTGCTGCCTGCTGTGGTCCAGGAAAAAGCCACCAGCATAGCAACACACAGGACATCTGCAGCAAATATTCCTGTATTACTGTTAGGCTGAATGAAATACTGGCTTCATTGAACTTTCAGCAAATGGAGACGTTCTGCAATTTTCTTTCTGGAAAATATGCCATGATTCTGTCTCAGCAAAGAATTGACAGCCTCTTTTCCTTAAAATGCTTGATAGTCTATTTCATTAGAAATTACAAAATACATATATATATACATAAATATTATTTGGAACAAAGAACAGTTTAAAGCTACAAGTTGAAAAACCACACAGTTGAAAGTCCACACTTACTTTAAATTAAAAAACTGTTTACATAGTTCCTTAAAATTTGCCGCCAGTGCTGCTATGCAGGGTGTAAGTGCTCAGCTTTGCTGCCACTGTTAAGCCATAGTCTTGTTTATTGAAGCTATGGCTTCATTTCAAAAGGGATTTCAGCTTCAAAATTATTCCAGTAATGATTTTGAAGCAATTTTTATAACAGCTTTATTGAAAAAAATTGGAGTGGTGCATAAACCACATGGCATCAAAGGATTACAACAGTGTCAGCACTTCTTGCAAATATTTCCATTACTGGAAAAAATGTTTCTTGAGGACTAAAAAAACGTGATTCTTGGCCCAAATTTATTGACACATATATCAATATCTGCTTCTAAGTCAGTAAATTCCAGAGTGTAAAGTTATAGAGGAAACCCTGGAAGCCAAGGCTGCCCATGCCCTGAGAGAAGGTGCAGCAGCAGCTGTGAGCGCTGCCAGCCCGGGACGCAGCGCTGCTCGCTGCCACCACCTTCGTGCAGCTGGCATTGACCACACAGTGTGCTCTGAAGGTCACTGACCTGGCCCTGACCCTCTGCAAGCGCTTCCCACCGTGCAGTGCAGAGTGGGGTGGCAGCAGCCCTGGGCACCCCCTCACCTTCCTGATCAGCGCCACCATGTCCGGGCACCAGGCGGCCGGGTACGCCACCGCAGCTGTCCTGAACACGTGAACCATCTCACTCGAGGAAGTGCTGGACCGAATGTGATATGGCCTCTGTGGGGAACACCACACGACAAGCGCGAAGTTATCTGCTTTTCAGACTTCTTGAGAAATCTGGTTAGAACACAGAAGCTTCACACAGTCTCACTGTCCAGTCCCCAGCCTCCTGTGGGACCTCTCTCCCTGTGTGACCATGGTTCAGTTGAAAAACAAAATGTCAGCAAGAACTACTCTAATAACTGGGCATTTAACAGCAGGACAGGCAGGAGCAAACCCCAGAAGTCAGAGTTATCAGCCAGTGGGAATTTGCTTGGTCAGTGTTTTTATCCTACAAGGCTGTGACACATAATGCTGTGGTTAGAGCACTCCTGATACTCCTGTAAAACGTTTTTCACTCATGCTGGGGACAATGCCGGTGAAAAGAAGACAAATATCCCCCAACAATAAAATCAGCTCAGAAAAGGATGTTCCAGGAAGGGTCATCAGCCTCAGGTGGGCATCAGGATGCAGGGTCACAGTTCCTTTTGCCCTGTGGCCACTGTCATGTCACCAGGACAGGTGAGCCATTGCAGAAGAGCACACAGTACAGTGGAGCACCAGGGACTCCTCCTGCATCAACATGCAGTGCACAGCCAGTGAGTGACACAGTGACACAAGCACTGTACAGCGCAGGTGAAGTCACCTCCCTGTTTATTGTCCATCTACAATTCTGCCAATTTACCTGGAGAGAGAACTTAAAATGGCAGAGTGTTTCCATCTCAGAAGTTTCGATTCACAGATTTTTACCTTATTTTGGGGGGAAGAAGGCAGGAGCAGACTAAAAGTGCATTTAAAGAATAGTAGCTATAAATAGTGAGATCAGATCAGGTGCAGTGTGCTTGACATGTGCCAGTACTAGATGGACCTCAAGGCCCCCCTTCCCCCGCGTGGCAGCCACCCAGGTGCCCCCATCTCACCACGGCTGTGCCATCACGTACGAGCATGAGACAGCATTTCTGCTCCTGCCTTTAGAAACAGTGCCATCAAGTCAAAAACCAACGTGATGCACAGTCCTGCCATTCATTTAGCATTATAGGTGGAAAACTCAAATATTACGTTAAGATGTTTACGGAGGGTACATTGCAGACAGCCACATATCCTCAATATCTGTAAACTGATCTCTTGCAACTGAGACACACAAATTCAAATGGAAAAATCTGTTCATCAAAATATCTTCTGCAAAGACTGATGATAAGAGGTTTTAAAAACCATGTTTTGCATACTCATACTGAAAGAAGCTTCCGAACTTCACAGGATCTTAAATGTTCCTCTTTAAATTACATTCTTTTGTTTAGAAAAATATAATTTTTAAAATTTTGTCCCACTTTTTTGTGCAGCACATTCAAAACACTGATGTATTTGTCTAGCTACAAAGCTCCCAACTTGCCCAAGTCAGCAGCAGAGCCCTGATGGCACAGGCAGGGACTGGGCTTTTCCCATCATTTGCTCCGACTGCTCAGTCTTGTTACAACAGCAACAAGGTTGTTTTTCAAGTTTTATTTTTCCTTGCAGGATAGAAGCTCCAAGTAAAGGGTATTGCACCCCAAACTTCAGGAGTTGTTGCTTGTCTTCCTTGCCCCCTTTTATCAATCCAGAGGCCCTCAGCTGCACAGGCAACTGCCACAACATGCTGTTCTGTGTTGCAGCAGCTTCTCTGACCATGATCACAAGAACCTTGGTGAAGACTTCCTCTTCTGTAATAAATTCTAAAGCCTTGAATTCAGCCTGGCCATCTCATCTCTGCTATAAAGCATTAACCCTCCCAACAGCATGTCCAAGGGCAGAGCAAGCCAAACACATACCCGAGTTCTGAGCAGCTCGTAGGCAGTGACTCCCAGCGACCACCAGTCCACGGCAAAGGAGTAGCTGGTGGGTTTTGTGGAGCTGAACATTTCAGGCGCTGTGAAACACAGGGGGAAACAATTGCCTTGCTGCAATCCCAAGTGGAAATGGGCAACACAGAGCAGCTGACCCTGCCCTTCCTGTGCTGCCATGCTCCTGCACCAGGGCCACCCAGCAGCCCCACAGTCCTCTCCACAGGAAACTCCCTGTGCTTCTCTGCCCCAAAGCCCAAAAAGACAAGCTCCTTTTACTGACACAGGAGTTGCCTACCATTCCTAGTAAACGAGCTCCAGAACAAGCACCTTCACTCAACCTAGGCATAAGGTGGCCTAAGTGTCTCTTCACCTCCCCTGTGAAGCAGGACACGCACACTCCCCAGCTGCACTGAGGCATTTCTGGGGAGGCACTCCTGTCCCCACCCTGCATCCCCTCTCCAGGGTGCTCCTCACTTCAAACCGGCAATGTTTTGATGGGGATCAAGAAGAAAAGAGTCCCAGCTCTAACCAAAACTGTCTTCAGCTGTGTCTCACCACAGCAGTCCACCCAAGCCCACAAAATGGGGATTCAAGAACAGGTAACTGCCCCTGGTTCTCACCCATGTAGGGCTTCGTGCCAGCAATGGTGGTGACAGGGCTGTCCTTCGTCAGCATCGTGGCAATATTGAAATCAGTGATGTGCACGTGTCCTGAAAGACAGAGGCTAACGTGTAACAGGCTTGGCTTTAATTTCACACCAGAAATAGCTCTGAATCAGAAACATAAAGTAAAATACTCAATGGAAAGGAGTTTCCAGGTAAAAAAATCCAGTGGGAGAACTGAGAGAAAATATTTCAGCTTGCAGGCTGCTTGCAGATGTCTCTTGTTTCAAATATCCCCTTGTTTTCCCTTTGGGGAACCAGAAAATACAAGAGTTGTCCAAAAAGTAATTTAGTGATGATTGTTTTGAGTCTTCCTATATTTTAGGATCATTCTGGAAAAGGAAATGAACTCTGTGATGTCCAAAGCTTTCTTAGCTTTTCTAAGTTTGTCGGAAGACAAACCTTTGCTGCCATGGATGAAGGAAAAGAATATTACAAGTCACAGACAAAAGGACACTGCAGCCAAGGGTATGTCCCCAGAAAAAACACTCTGAAACCTCTGCAAGGGAGAGTTTAAAAAATCACAGTGAGCAGAGAATAGACTCAAAATTCATCCTGAATTGTAGCATCATTATAAAAGTTAGTAGGTTGTGTCTTCCTGGGCTGAATGCAGCTGCAGAGATGAACAGAGCCTTCCTCTTTTTTTCCCTCTTCAGGGGGTGCTGACCTACTCTCCCATGGCCATGGTGATCCCAGCTCCTCCCAGGAAGCTGTGTCATCCCAGTCTGAGTGGCACAGAGCTCTGGGAGAATGGTGACGGGTCACCAAAGCCTCCAACAGTGAGGACTGACCAAAAGCATGAGATGGGCAGCCCTGAGCCACAGCAGTGCCAGACCCCAACACTTCAGGGAGGATGGGGCTCCCCATGCTCTGTGTGGGCTCTCCGTGGCCTGTGAGGGGTTCCCCATGGTCTGTGTGGGCTTCCCATGGTCTGTGTGGGCTCTGCATGGTCTGTGTGGGCTCTCCATGGTCTGTGCGGGCTCTCCATGGCTTGTGTGGGCTCTCCATGGTCTGTGTGGGCTCTCAGTGGTCTGTTTTGGCTCTCCATGGCCTGTGAGGGGCTCTCCATCGTCTGTGTGAGGCTCTCCATGGCCTGTGAGGGGTTCCCCATGGTCTGTGAGGGGTTCCCCATGGTCTGTGAGGGCTCCCCATGGTCTGTGTGGGCTCTCCGTGGTCTGTGTGGGCTCTCTGTGGCCTGTGAGGGGCTCTCCATGGTCTGTGTGGGCTCTCCATGGCCTTTGAGGGGTTCCCCATGGTCTGTGTGGGCTCCCCATGGTCTGTGTGGGCTCTGCATGGTCTGTGTGGGCTCTCCATGGTCTGTGCGGGCTCTCCATGGCCTGTGTGGGCTCTCCATGGCCTGTGTGGGCTCTCTGTGGTCTGTGTCGGCTCTCCATGACCTGTGAGGGGCTCTCCATGGTCTGTGTGAGGCTCTCCATGGCCTGTGAGGGGTTCCCCATGGTCTGTGTGGGCTCCCCATGGTCTGTGTGGGCTCTCCATGGTCTGTGTGGGCTTCCCATGGTCTGTGAGGGGCTCTCCATGGTCTGTGTGGGCTCCCTGTGGTCTGTGAGGGGCTCCCCATGGTCTGTGTGGGCTCCCCATGGTCTGTGAGGGGCTCTGCGTGGTCTGTGTGGGCTGTCAGTGCTCTGTGTGGGCTCTCCGTGGTCTGTGTGGGCTCTCCATGGTCTGTGTGGGCTTCCCATGGTCTATGAGGGGTTCCCCATGGTCTGTGTGGGCTCTCCATGGCCTGTGAGGGGTTCCCCATGGTCTGTGTGGGCTCTCCATGGTCTGTGTGGGTTCCCCATGGTCTGTGAGGGGCTCTGCATGGTCTGTGTGGGCTGTCCGTGCCCTGTGTGGGCTCTCCATGGTCTGTGTGGGGGGCAACAGCCGGAGAAAGATGGAGCAAGGCAGGACAGGGGCTCCAGTACCTGGAGGCAAAGCCACTTTGCTGCCAGCTCCTAAATAAATAATCAAGCAGTGCTCTGAAATTAGAGGTCATATGCACACGGATCTAGCCTGGGCTCGGTGCTGCCAGGCAACCTTGGTCACACACAGCCTGTCACAGAGCCAGGCAGCGCTTCCCTCGGGAGCTGCAGCATCTCTGCTACAGCCTCTGAAGCCATAACAAATGCAGGTATGCCTCCTCCCTGCACTGACTTTTCTCTTCAAGCACCTTGCTCTAGCTGCTATGAAGATTTCTCACAACAATAGAGTTACCTGGATTTAAAAAAATATATAACCTGACAAAATGTTTCTCTAATGAGTTACAAACTAATAAATATCAGACAACTTTTCACTGTGAGATCTTTGCCAGGAAAAAAAAGTGACTGAAGAGCTATGCAAGAATATAGTCAAGAGTTTTGCCTATGAAAAACTATAGAAAAACCAATAGCAACATTTATAACATACCTAACCCCTAATCCTCTTCAGAGCTCCCTCCCCATGCCAAATCCTCAAGGAAAAAGAAAATACATGACCAAGGCTTATCCATTGCACCATAATTAATTCTGTTTGTGCACAAACCCTGCAGTGACACAAGCACTGCCCTTCAAATGATGCATTTTGAGTAAGTTTTAAACAAGAACCAAGAAAATGTTAAGATCAGGCGTGCTGGGCTACTGGCCCCAAGCAGCACCAAACACATGGTCCCTGCCAGTGTCTTGTAGGGACACCATCAAGTCAGTGAGCCAAAGGCTAAAACACCAAGGCAACCCCAGAAGCACCACAGCATCACAGGGCGCTCAGTGCCCTGAAGGTACAAGACGCTGCTGCTCAAAAAGCAAGAGACAGCAAGTGGAGCACAAAGGATGGGATGGCCCTGCTCCCAGCTGGGCTGAGCAGGAGAGCCCAACACCAAAGGATGGCACCAGCAAGCACGAGACTGCAGCTTGTCTCCTGCCTGCAGCTGCTCCTACACACGTGTGTGACCGCAGAGCGCCTGCCACTTACCGTGCTCATCCAGCAAAATGTTGTCAGGCTTGATATCTCTGAGAAACAAAGCAGAGAAGCAGAGACAGCCATTAGCCTGGAGAAGTGACCCCAGGAAAGCCAGGCTCTGGGGCACTGGCAGAGACACTGCACCCCCAGAGCCTCGGGCTTCTCAGCTCTGGTGTTCCCGTTTGATTCGGGCATAGGAGAGTGAGTGACCAGCACCAGCAGCACTGGTACGCTGCCAGGCTGCAGGGGTCTGGGTGACAGCACTCACCTAAGTCCACCCACAGTTAGCTTAGAGAGTGTTTTTGTCGTTTTCCTCCTGTTACTTTTCAATCTATTTCAATACTGTAGGAGAAGGGGTCCCCAGTACAAATTAAAGCATCTTAATGTCTTTGTTCTAGATACAAATGGGTTACCCACAGGTTTTATTCCTAAGTAAAAGGACCCCACAAAATAATACCTATAGCAATGCTGTAGGTAAACACTTTAACTGAAGGGAGAAACCGTACACCTGATACTCTGATACAGCCACAGTGTCCACCTGAGTGACTTTACAAGCCATTACCTGGCTTTAATGAGCTCATTACACCGGTTCCTACTGAGCACCTGGCCACCTGATGCCCCAGAGAAAAGGTCCCAGCCAGGAGGCAGGCAACAGATGCAGTGGCCCTGTGCCAGCTGGTGCTCCCCACCAGGCCCAGGAGTTCCGAGTGAAGAAATGAACACATTTAGGATTTTATCTTTAAAATTCAATCATTAGCATACAGTTTGAGCTCTCCAAGTCACCTGGAATCAAAGCCCCACAGTATATCTAATTGTCATCTAATAGCTTACAGTTTTCTGGCATCTTGTTACCCAAACAACTTCCAGTGGGTTATAAACACTGGTTCCCTTCCTGGTGCCATCCCATCACACAGGTGAGTACAGGGACAGGCATCATTAGCAGAGCACAGGGCAGTGCCAGGTAAGCAGCTGATTTTCCCCCTAAGCACAGTGGACCTCTTTCCTTTTTTTTTTCCTTAGGTTATTACTTTTTAATTTCTAGTGTGGCTGTTTCTGATCTCCCTCAGTCTGGCATACAGCCTCTGAAATTACACCAGCACAGTAAGATCATTCTCAGGATGCAAACAAATACCAGACATAATTCTGCTTATTGTTAATTTGTATATTTCTTTTTTATAAGCTGATTATATAATTTCCTAACCTAAAATATATTAATATTTCCCATTATTTTACAACTAGGTGGGAAATAATTACAGCCTGAGTTTGCTGTCTCTGCACAGCTTTGTTCAGCCAAACAAAACCATTGCTTCCCTGTCTCCTGATGTTCCCAGTTACAGCTGTTGCAGTATAATTGCCCCAGCAGAACCACTTTATCAATCAAGTACTGTCCCACTGGGTTACAGTGTTAATTAAACAACTTGCATTACAGTGTTAATTAAATAACTTGAAAATTTTACAGCCTGCCATACACGTTTTATTGTACTTGATTTACCTTAAACATATGCAGCTGTGTGAAAAGCACACTGCAACCTCACCTGCAGTTTCTCCCACTCCTATTCCCACTGGGGCAAAGATCCCCGCACGTAAAGCACAAAAGCAGCAGTATGAAAGAGGAGACCCTGAGGAGGTGGCAGCTGTCCCTGGCCTGGGTGCAGCAGAGCAGAACTGCTCCGAGCTCCTGGGGCTGCAGGGACAGACAAGGGGTCACTCTACCCTCACTCCTTGGACATGGCACTGGACATTATGGGCAGGAACGGGCATTCACCCTCACCAGGGCGTGCCTTCCCCTAACAACCAGTTCAGTTTTACACTTTCCATGCTTAATTCTTATATCTGCACAAGAATGCTCATCTGCAGTGGTATTTCTAAATGAAGTGACCTTCTCCCTGCAATTACTGACCCTCACAGACCCTCTCTGCTCATCCCCCCTGACAGCAGCTAACGTGGCTAAACTCTTGGGCCCCTGAGCTTTGCATTGCCCATGACACCAGCAGAGGAGCCATGTGTCTGTCCATCCACAGCCAAACCCTGTTTCCCAGCCAGGGGAAACCTCTGCCTCCTCTGCTGTTCTGCAGGTCTTCAAAGGCATGGGAAGAGCTCATGGATTTTTTTCACTGGCCATGAGAAATCGTGGTAGCCAAAAAGAAACTCTCAGCACTTCTAAAAAGGGATTTACCTCATACAAGAAAAAGTTGTGTTTGGGCCCAGTCCTCATATTTTGGTGCAATACAGAGCGGGGCAAAGGGAGACACCTTCAAGCATGAACACAGGAGTTCTGAGTGCTGACACCTACTCTCCCTGGATGAGGATGGACATTAATGAGTTATAGCTAATTAAAACCTATCAGAGACATATTTTTGCAGGATCAGTGGGAAATCAAATATGCTATTTCACAGCTACCCCAGAAGGACAAATCAGATAGCCTCTGCTGTGTATGAGATACTTTTCTGGGGGATGCCTTGTGTCTCACATAAAAGCAAATACACATGGGAAAATATGCTGTTTATCACTTAAGCTTCTATTTGTTGCTTCACATCAAGGAAGAAAAAGCCTGCCCACAGCACAGCCTGTGGCCTGGCTGACCTGTGGATGATGTGCCTGCTCTGCAAGTAGTCAAGGGCCAGCACCAGCTCACAGATGAAGAGTTTCACAGTTCCCTCCTGGAACCGCACATTCTGTTGGAGGTGGTAGCGCAGGTCCCCTCCGAGCAGCAGGTCGACCACCATGAACATATCCTCTTCATCCTGGAATGAGTACCTGAAACAGCACACACGTGGTTCAAGGACAGCAGCATTGAAAAATGACAAGTAATAAAGGAACACGTGGTACCCCTGGGAATACTCATCATCTCTTGGAATTTTTCACTCCAAATTTCACGACCTTTCTGTGCTCTGTTTCCCACTATTCTCACACTTGTGACAACAATAATTTAGTCTCAGATCCATAACAGAGTCAGAGCAGACTGTATGAACAACTGAGGATGGGCATTCTGCCTTCTCCGAGCACCAGCAGGAAGTGACCAGAGGAAGTGACCAGAGGAGCCCTGGACCTGCAGCCCTGGCCAGAGCCAGCCCTGCCTGTGACCCCGTGTGCTCAGCACAACAGGGGTGCAGCTGGGCTCTAAGTGATCTCATCTGAGGGGCTGTGTCTCTCTGAGAGGGGCTGACAACCAGCTGTAGCCCTTTCCTCATGGACTTTATCAGCACACTGCCTGCTTGGTGGGATGACCAGCACACAAGCCAGACCACTGCTCCACACAAAGCATGTAGGCTGTCTATCACCCAGAGTGCAGGAAAGACACAGCAATGCTAAAGGCATCCCGAAGCCAGGGATGGCATGGCAAGAACGGGAGCAGGGACACTTGGATGGTTTGCTCTGTACAGATCTCTGCACAGACACACACTGGTCAGCTTTCAGCTGCTGACTGAGCTTTGCCTGGAGCTTTGTGTTCGAGGAGGAAAGAAAAGTTTGGAGATATTATATGGGAGGTGTAGCTGTACCTTTACCATTCATACCCCAGTAAGAACCAGCCTAAATGGCAACAGCAGCAAAATACCAAGGGTTCACTGAACTACACTCAGATTACAGAAGATTTCAAAAAGGAAGAATTATTCAAGGATTTCTGATCTTCAATATCTTTTAGACTATTTGTGTGTGTGTGTGTGTGTGTGTGTGTGTGTGTGCGCTTAGCATTGATAATTTCTACTTTATTCTAAAAAAAATCAAATTTCCAATAAATGTAATTACCCACGACCCTAGAGGAATACTGAAACTACAGGATATTGGCCACTTTATCATGCAATATGTGAGCTCACACCCCTTGCAATGTTACTGGTTAAACTGTTACTGATTACTCATAAAATTAAGAAGAAAGAAATGTCAAGGGACAGCCAGCAAAGATCCCTGCCTGACCATCAATCCCATGCTGCCAGAAGTTGCTGGTGATAGCAAAGAGCTCCTTTAAATACAGGTGGGGCTGTGGTGATAGCCAATACCTGCCTGGGGGACACTGCAAATGGACACATGAATAAACTCTCTTGTGCTGTCTGAGGGGACAAGGGAGATAACTGCTTAAATAAACAGGATTCTCCTGAAACAAGAGCCCCAGTCAGTGGAACACACCAGCTGCTCCCAAGACAGGCTTGAAGCAGATGAGGGGGGTCTGATCTCAAAAGTGTCTCCAACTGACTCAAGCAGGCAGCCAAGGCACCACCTCTTACCATAAATTAACCAAGAAAGGGTGTTCCAGGCCCTGCATAATCTGCAGCTCCTTGAAAACATTTCTCACTTCATTACGCTCCACACACTTCTGTTTGTTCATGTATTTCATGGCATACATCTTCTTGGTGTCAGTCTTTTGCACCACGCAGACCTAAGAGAGCAATCAGGGAATAAAACAGAGAGGATTTGTCAGCAAATTTGGGCAGGTAAAACAAAACCCATGACGTGTTTTCCATCAGCTTTGGCAGAGCTGACACTGCCAGGGCACAACTCCATCCTCCAATGCTGCAACACTGGACACTGCCCAGGGAATCTCTTGGGAATTTCACCCAAAGAGAAATTTTTGGGGGAAGATGAGAGGATGGAATTTATTATCACAGCTTGGGAGACAGGGAATCACAGAGAAGTCAACATTTATTTAATGCCATTCACTAACCATCATGTCCATTCCTCCCACACTGCTGGGAAGAGCCCCCTCCAGCACAGATCTACAGGTCAGGGACCAGCACCTGAGCCTCACTCCCCTGAGAAGCGTTACTCAGTTCACAGGTAATCTCGGGCTTTGTTTAAGGGGTACTGGGCTTTGATTTGTGGCTACAGAATGGATAAGGATTTGGGCTCTGATTCCTTTCTGATTACCAGGAATTGAAGGTCAAGGCTCACTGATAGTGCATGGGCTTTGGTTCTGTACTCTCACGTGAGCCTCCAACTCATCTATTTCCTCCCAGTTACATCTCCAGCTGCCCACATGGTGATTAGTTTCCAAAACACTCACTTTTCCAAAGCTGCCCTTTCCAATAGCTCGCAAAATCTCAAAATGGTCGAAGGTAACTGTAAGAAAGAGCAACACTTCAATATTAAGTGGCTGAGCAAACATTTGACAATATTACATTATTTCTACTTCCTTATCCCTATGAGCTGAGAAAAATGAGGGATACCCCAGAAAAGCTCTGTTCCTTTTGAAGATTTGGGTGTTGTTTAAACTTGGTGTGTTTAATGGGGCTTTTTTTCCTCCGTGGTTCAGCCTTAAAGGCAAGTTCCTTAGGTCCTCTCCTCTGTCACTGGCAGATCAGGCAGGGTCAGGACAGGGCCTTTCCTGGTGTAGTGTTTCTCAGCCACAGAAGCTGGTGCTGTGTAACACTGAACCCAGAGAGAGACCCAGCAGAGACCAGCCACTCCCAGGGAAATCCCACAGCCAGAGCACACCACCCTGAGGAAGGTGCTCAGGAACAGAACTGCTCATTAACCCCAGCAAGCCTAAGTGGTTGCTTATGAAAAATGCCAATACTGAGCATTTAGATGCACCAGGAATAAAATCTTCAGGAAAACTTCACAGCATAGATTTCTTTTGCGCTACAGAAAACGAAAAAATACGAAAACCAAAGAAAATCTGTAAGCAGTTGCATTAATAATTTGGAAACTGAAGCTGGTTTTGCAGAGCAGCTGCAGACTGGCAGGGGCACCACACAGCACATTGGAAGAGCAGCTGATGGGGTATCCAGCTCTTCATATGTTTTATGTTTAGTACTATGTATTTGTATTTATCTACATATGCATATTGTTGTTGTACCTAGGTGAAAGCCCATATGGCAGTCAGCAAGCTGACTCATGCAACAGCAAATATATTTATGGAGCAATCTTTTAATGACTGTCTCTGTAATCTTGGCAGCACAGGGACCCTGGCCTCCGATACTGCTCCCAGCAGTAGTTTTCCAGCTCCTTTTCCAGCCAACCCAACCTGCAGGCTTGGCCTCCCAGTGCCTGCAGGCAGTCCTGCCCAGCTGGGCAGCCACCAGGAACACCCGTGGGAACATCCATCGCTCCAGCCACCTTCCCACCATTCTTCCTACCACTCCTCCCTACACTGGGACCTCCAGAATAAATCTCTCCAGCCCCCAGAGCAGCAGCATTTTGACCCTGCCCCCGAGGTGCCTGGCAGTGCCCCAGGGACTCCTCAACAAAACCTCTGCTGACAGTTTTGCTTTCAGAGCTGCTGGGAGGGGAGGCCAGCAGGGACCCCAACACCAGACCACGGGCACACTGCTGCTGCTGACCTCCACACACTGTGCTGGCCTGGGACACCCAGGTGTCTGCAGCCTCAGCACAGGTGCTGGCTGGCACCCTCACAGCCAGCCTGCGCTGGAGAACTCTGCAGCCCCAGACAACAACAGGAAAAGTCCTCACCTTCCTCATTCCCATCAAAGGATGGTGACTTGCTGGAGGTGTTTGCCCCCATGGTGTGCTCAGCCCAGGCTCAGCACTCTCACTCCTCTGGGTTCTGCTACCACTCAAAGCCTCTGGTGCAGTTCTGTGGGTCAGTCCTGCCAGACCTCGGCAACGTCCTGCTGACACATCCTGCAGAGGGCAGGAAGCAAAAGTTCATCACTTACAGCCTGTGAATGTCTCACTGGACGTTCTCTGCCCTGGGGACAAGCCTGACTGTCAGGGAAAAGCACATTGCAATGGAGCTCCCTAGAGAAAGCAGTAACACCTTGTGCCTCAGATCGGGACTGCTGCCCGCTACAGGAAGGGTAGGAACAGACCAGCAGACCCAAAGATCCAAGGATCTGGCTCATGTTTTCTGTATCATCCAGCATGTACTTTGTAGCTTCAGGGGTGACTAATTGCAGTGGGACCAATATCCAAAATAAATGGACATACTGACTTGGCTAGATAAAACCAAAAGGCACTTTTGACTACTGAGGTTGTGTGGAAGTGTAAAAGCTACAGAAGAAGAAATTCACAGTGTCAACTTTTTGATTTAAGCAGTTACACAAGTCTTTCATTTGGAGAAAAAAAAAAAATCATACCATTCTGGTATCTCTAACGAAAAGATTCCATGTAAAATCAAGGTATAGTTTCCACTCAGGTTCTTCAGATTTTTTTGGATATGAACCATGAACAGAAGAGCAAACCTGATTTCTGCCTTGATGCTGGCTGCAGTGACTGGATTTCCTCTCCCACTGCAAAGGAACTGGTCTATTCATTAGCAGGGAGTACAGGAATTTTCCAATCTTTCCTGACATGTCTGTAGAGTTTACTGACACTTGAGAGAGCTTGAACACTCTCTGTAAGGTACTATATTTTTTAAGCATTTACATGCAATGCACCTTTATGTGCTTGGTTTTGGTACTGATATTCCTGTGACATACAGCTTTATTCCTTGTTGCAAGTACAAAGCCTTTAAAGAACAAAATGAGGAAATACCAGTGTGGCAAGATCTGGACTGGGTCCAGCCCAGAGCATTCTCCAGGGCATCCGTATGTTCACTGAACATTTTCTCAGATCTACACTTTGGAAACACCTACTAACTAACTTCACTTCTTTAAATTAACAAAATTATTGTACTGAAGCAGAAAAGGGAGGACTCATAAGAAAGATGTTGGAGAAAAGAGAATTGCTGGGAACTGGGTCTGTCATGGGATACAATGAGTTACCCCACCAGCATACACAGCTTGTTTTCTCCAGCTAACCAAAACAAAATCTTAATTTCCCATCTCAGAACTGAAACAAGATCCAGCAATAAAACAAATGAAGCAGTAAATGTTTACGATTCCCATCAGTGCTTCTGGCAGGAACAGATCGAGCCTTCAGTCTCAAACAAACCCACTGTAGTAACTCTTTTTGAGCCCCAAAACTTACTCTTCAGAATAAAGAGACCTTCAGATGCAACAGCCATAAACGAAATCACCCAAGGAAACTTCCTTGCACAGCAGTTTGGAGCCAAGTTCATTTTTGAAAATACATCAATACATACAAGCTCTGAAGAAAGAGTGCAGATGTTCCCTGAAGTTAAGCTAGCCTGAGTAATAATTACAAGTATTTGCACCTTTACAAAGTGAAACCGGGGGATGGAAATGATAAATCTTTCACTGTTTCACGCTGCAAAGTCACAAAACTATTAAAATCATGCCTTTTCCTCGGGCCAAATTTGCCGGCGCTCCCGCGCTAAGATCCTGCAGGTCGGAGCCCGGCTCAGCTCGGGGCTCCCGGCCGCCGCGGGGGTTCCACAGGCGCCCCAGCCCCGCAGGCTCCAGCACGCCTCGGTCACGGGAGACGAATGGAAACCCCACGCCAAAGTGAGGAATGCAGCCAGCTGCGGGCAGGATGCGCTGAGGGGACGGGAGCGCAGGGCACGGGGAGGGGCGGGGGGCTCAGCCGAAGGATCCGCACCAGCCGCACCGGCAGAGACATCCTGATGGGTACTGCCGAAACCCTGGAAGGGGACGGCTGCCTCCAGGGGTTCACAGACACTTTCTCTCACGGCCTCTGCACTACCCGAGCGCTGCTCCGCCGAAGAGCTGGGACTGGGCGGGGGCACGGCCCGGAGGGACATCGCCCTGAGCTTCGGTCCCAGAGGAGCGAGCGGTGACCCCGAACTCGCCCGCAGCCGCATCGGCGCTCGGGAAGGGCGAGGAGAGGCGCCCTGAGTTTCACCATCAGTGCTCTGGGCGTCTCCTCCGGAGCTAAGGGAGCCTTCTGCGGTTCTCCTCGCCGCAGCCGGCTCTCCGGCAGCGCGACCCCCGGCCCCGAGCGCTGCGGGCAGCGGCGGAGCTGCCGCCGGACCCCGCGCGTCCCGAGCGGCCGCCAGCAGCGAGCGCCGTCCCTGCCGCCCCCCGCCCACCGGCACGGACCGCGGCTCACACCCCTCCGGAAAGCACGACCGGGAGGCGCCTACCTGGGGCTCGCAGGCAGCGAGCAGCGGCCGGCCCGGGCGGCACCGCCGGCGGGAGGAGAGCAGCCGGGGCCGGGGGAGCCGGGGAACCGGCCGGGCCCCGGTGGCGGCGGGAGGAGCCTGCGGCACCGCCAGCGACACTCGCCACGGACACGCCACCGCCCCCCGGGGCCGCCGCGCCGCCAGGGAGGTGTCCCTGTGCCTGTGCCTGTCCCTGCCCCTGTCCCTGTGCCTGTGCCTGCCCCTGGCCCTGTGCGTGTGCCTGTCCCTGTGCCTGTCCTGGCCCCGTGCCTGTCCCTGTCCCTGTGCCTGACCCTGTCCCTGTGCCTGTCCCTGTCCCTGTCCCTGTCCCTGTCCCTGTCCCTGTCCCTGTCCCTGTCCCTGTCCCTGTCCCTGTCCCTGTCCCTGTCCCTGTCCCTGTCCCTGTCCCTGTCCCTGTCCCTGTCCCTGTCCCTGTCCCTGTCCCTGTCCCTGTCCCTGTCCCTGTCCCTGTCCCTGTCCCTGTCCCTGTCCCTGTCCCTGTCCCTGTCCCTGTCCCTGTCCCTGTCCCTGTCCCTGTCCCTGTCCCTGTCCCTGTCCCTGTCCCTGTCCCTGTCCCTGTCCCTGTCCCTGTCCCTGTCCCTGTCCCTGTCCCTGTCCCTGTCCCTGTCCCTGTCCCTGTCCCTGTCCCTGTCCCTGTCCCTGTCCCTGTCCCTGTCCCTGTCCCTGTGCCTGTGCCTGTCCCTGTGCCTGTCCTGTCCCCGTGCCTGTCCCTGTCCCTGTGCCTGTGCCTGTCCCTGTCCCTCTGCTTGTCCCTGTCCCTGTCCCTGTCCCTGTCCCTGTGCCCTCCTGCGGCCTAGAACGACAGTCCCTCTGATGGCCCCACCGCCCGAGCCGCTCTGCCGCCCCTCGCCCCGGGGTTATCCTTTCTCCTCTGTCCGCCTCCTGCCTGGCCCTCTCTTGTTTTTTGGATGCGGGCTCCGCCTTCCGTGCCCGGGCGCATCCAGCCCCCGCCTCGGGGGCAGCTCCAGAGGGCGGCCCCGCCCGAGCCTCGGTCCCTCTGCTCTTGGTACGAGGCTCGCTGCCTCCCCTGCCCGCTCGCGTTCCCCCTGGGAGGATCCCATAAGAGAGGCACCACATTTCCCACCCCACTGATCATACTCTTCCGACTCTGGCTTTTCTGCTCGCATTCCTGAGTGCCAGGAGCAGGCTCAGACTCCCAGAGCTCTGAGAAAGAGCAGTCCTTGCCCCAGGGCAGACAGAAGTCAGAGCAGTTACCCAATTTTAGCAATTTCATGTCTTACTTAGAGAAGAACCAATAAGCTGAAACACAGCTGGGACTATCCTAAACTATCTAAACCAATTCAGAGCGTCTGAAACACAGACCCATGGACTGCAGAGGGAGAAAGAGGCTGGATTCCTGCAGAGCGGGGTTGGGCCAGGGGACATCTGTCCTCAGGACCCAGCTCTGAGGTGAGGACACGTACAAAGGCTCTGGGGGCAGGTGGGCTCCACGTCGGGACACCAGCTCCTGTCCTGGGAGATGACCTGCACAGCCTTGCAGGCAGGATGGGGATCCAGCAGTTACCACACAGAATTCAAGAAACAGAGCGTTTGAAGTAAACCATCTCTGGTGGGTAGGATAAGGTATTCATGCTGCAGGGAGTTGCAGTGATTTATATACAGCTCCAGCACCAGGAGATATCCAAGATTTCCTTCCCAGTCCAAGACCAAACTCTACCTTTCAGAGGATCCACCTGTGGTTTTCTGCCTATCCAAAGCAACTTTCCCTGAAGAGACTAAAATTTGCTGGATGGAGAATCCTTTCTATTTGACTTTTCACGTGAGTGACTTACATGAAGCTTGAAAATTTTTCCTTAAGTAATTAGAATCCTTTTCTAAACATTATTGTTCAGATTTTATTTCCAACAGAAGTTATAACCCAGGACAAACCCAGTAAAACTAGTAGAAACAATTGTGGAGATATTACAAAAGTAGTAGTCCAGAGTGGGTCATCTGAAGAGTTTCAGAGTCTTGTATGTTTGCAGAAACGAAATATTAAAGCCTGATTATTGAGTAGGCCAAAGAAACAACAAATGAGAGGACAGAAGGCAGATCTGCAAGTGCTCCTGTGAAACAGCCAACTCTGTTCCCCACTGGGCAATGGGAAAACACCATTCTGCTTGGTGTAGCAGGGGAATTTATTTTCCATGGGAAACAGAGAGACTCCTGTCCCAGAGCTGGCGCTTTGGTCTGCAACAAAAAGAGAGCATACTTAGGAAAAAAATCAGATAAACATGTCCCCCAGTTTTCTCAAGAAATGGAGCTTTTCTGCTGTGTCAGCTCAGAAACAGGAGGCGTGTCCCAAGCTGGGGAATTTTTTCACTCATATAGAAAAAGAAGCTCAGGGGAGTGCAGTGGTCTCTCTGTCACCTGTCACGTGCAACAGCCACTGCCAGCTTTCCTGGCTTGAGAAATGGGAGCGCCGTGGTGGATCTCTGGTGCCTTCTAATGGAGAGGAGGCACGGCTTATTCCTCTTGTCCAAGATGCTCCTGCCACCAACCCATACACTCCTCCAGCACATAAACCCCACCTCTCCCCCGGCCTGGGCACGCCAGGCAAACCCCTGGGGTCTGCAAAGGTCAGAGGGGGCAAAGACCCTAATGGCTGCCACTGAATTAAAAAATAAGTTTTTAAAGTTCTATTCACCTTTATAATTTTAACTATTCAGCGAACTATACTTTTGGTTCAACTACCAAACTAATTTTTATCAATGGCTCGCAAAAGCAGAGAAGTTTTGCTATATTTATTGTATGTATTTTCTGGAACCATAAATATTTAAAGAAGTGGAATTATACTGAGCAGCCATAACTCAGCTGTAATCTTTCAGCAAACTTTAACATTATGGTATGTGTTAGATTTCAATACCCATTGCTGGCATCTCCTGTGATTAGAGTGAGCTCACCTCCACAACTGCCCACAGCTCCTTCTGAATGAGAACTGTCTTGTGTGCTTTGCAGGTGGCTGCCAGTGCCAAACTGTAGCCATTGATATACGTACTTAATCAGGGTTAAAACTCACTGCGGGCTGTGCAGAGGTGTGGCCCACCCAGGGGTCCCCTCCTGTAGCAGGAGCTCTCCCTTGATCAGGGATTAAATGTTTTCTGGATGGGCAAATCTGCCCCTGGTGCCTTATCCCATGCACAGTTTCCCCGGCCCCTGACTCAGCAGAGATGATGGCACCTGCACCCACTCTGATATATAGCAGCTGTGAGGTGGCTGCTTCTGAAAATAGCTTGGACATCCTTTTCAGTGGCACCTGCACCCACTCTGATATATGCTGTGAGGTGGCTGCTTCTGAAAATAGCTTGGACATCCTTTTCACAGTGCAAACCACAGTGTTCCAGAAGCTGCGTTTTTAAACACACCAATTCCAGCAAGATTTCCACAGAATCTGAGCTCCGTTTCAGAGAACACGCTGAGGAATGTCTTTTCCTGGCTGCAGAACGTGAAGAACTAGGATTCCTCAGCTAGGGGTCACTAGAATTTAAGGCAGGACAGGACTTCAGAATCCAAAGTGACAGCTCACCTCCAGCAAGCTGGGTTGTTAGCAGTGGCTAACAACTTTTCATTGCAGAGAAATGGAACTCATTAGTTAACACTGGTTCATTGTCACACGAGGTGTCAATAGGTGGCTGGGCTGTAAAAGCGTTCCTCCTACTCCTTTTCACTAGTATGTTTCATAATCTCTCCCACTGGGACAGGATCCCTGTGTCCACCATCCACTCCCATCAGCATTCCAGACTTGTTGTGCACCTCAAACAGATGCTCTTCCCCAGCATTTGGACTCGGTCAGTCCCAGGACTGGATGCAGTACAGATAAAAATAATCAATATCCATGTGCAGCCTTTCCCCAGGCATACCTGTTTTTTAAAAGATTTTTTTTCAAATTCGTAGGATGAAAAGGCTTTTAGTTTGCATACTGGCAAGAGAGAGACCAAGCTTGCAGGCAAGGTTTTCCCATACATCAATATCATAGACATGCACTTCATTAGTGAAATTCCATCCTTAAAGCAAGAACTGGTGTGCCAAGAGAAAGAACTCCAAAAATTACAGGGGAGGTCTGCATGGTCCAGAGAGAAATTTCACAAATTAAGTTAGCAATAAACCTTAAAAACCACAACTTCCTTTAAATCACCCATTTCCAACATACAAAAAGAGGGCCCCCTTTCATACCCTTAAAGCTCCATCTTTTCCTTGTATTTGGTTTGAATAATCCAATAAAGCTCACTCTTGACTTTGTACCTATTATGTATTCCAGATAATTACATTAATTTTGATATATACCTCTATTAATATACAAAAACATAAATAAAATCAGACAGAAATCTCACAAAGACATCCAGTTAGGCTACAGCACAGTCCATGTAGCTTGGTCATGTCCCCTACTGGACATTGTCTCCCACCCCATGTTTTCCTTTTCTTTTGTAGAGAAGTAACAAGTCTGTGTGTCCATGGCATGAGCCCAGACTGAGCCCATATCACACGTGCCAACTGTGAAATACCCATATCTTCTGTCACACATTTCACCTGTGTGTAAAACAGCTGAGATGAAATTTACTGGTCCCCATGGCTCCATTTTCCTGCATTCTTCATGCCTGGAAATTCTTCAAGATAAAATGTGTGCTAGGATGAAAGGAAACAAGTTGTCCTTTGAGGCACTGAATTTTTTTTGTGGAACAGTGAAAACTGTGTTACAGAAAGGGAAACTCTGCTGAGCTGTCAAGAAAACAAGGAGCATTGGTAGATGAAATCCTAATTTCTCTCAGAGAGCCTTAACACAGAGTATGCTGCAGCAGCAAACACAGTTGAAAGCACTACAGCTTAATAATATGCCTTTCAATAGAAATGTGTGTAGCAATATTTTAAAGCAGCTATAAGGCACTTGTGATTGCAGGCAGATTTTGAGGAAAGTGTTATAATGTATTGTAAAGCAGCTCCATGCTGCTTGGGTTCATTGACAAGCAGTTCAGAACACTCACCACAAATGTGAAAAAAATTTCTTGTGGTAGTAGGACAGTTCTTTTTTTCTGTTTCACTCCTTCTTTAACTGTGCTGGACATGACTGGGAGCATTAGTATTCTGATGGAGGGAGGCTGTGACAAAGACCATGACTACAGGGCCTCCTGACTTTGTGCTTCTGCCAGTGATGTGGAGGGGAC